GGTCAAACCCAAAGCAAGAGTCTAACATTGGCGTTTGGGGGCCGAAGGCCCCCAAACGCCTCGGGATAACCCACCAAAGTTGCCGAATGCACCAAAGCGGTCAAACCCATTGCAAGAGTCTAACATTGGCGTTTGGGGGCCGAAGGCCCCCAAACGCCTCGGGACAACCCACCGCCGTAGCCAAATACACCACAGCGGTCAAACCCAAAGCAAGAGTCTAACATTGGCGTTTGGGGGCCGAAGGCCCCCAAGGCGAGGGCCGAAGGCCCGAGCATTCATTACATCCAAAACGCAGAGCAATAGTCAAAGGTAGGGCACATTATACCTATAATAAATAGCATTATACCTATAATAAATAGCATTATACCTATAATAAATAGAAAATTTTTTTAGAAAAAAAAATATCGGCCGGCCGAAGGCCGGCCGCTTTCTGAGAGTGCGACATCTTGGGGGGTACTTTTAATGGGCTATTTGGGAAAAATACCGCTGGGACCATACGATGAACTTTTGGCACTGAAACGACCATGGCGAAGTGGCCAAATCCTGAACCGTCCGTCGGATCGAAAAACGCTTGCTGGGAGGAAACTAAGTTGGACCAAGGGTAATCCAACAAAAAAAAAATTTTGAAAATCCGTTGAACCCCCGGGCACTTATGGGTGCGCAAAAATTCACCGATTTTCGGTGAAATGTCCAATTGTGTCGGACTAAATTTTTATCTTTGGAACGGATGGGCCGAATTGAATGGGACCAAAAGGGTTATAGGTACCAAAAGGGTTATAGGTAGTTGGCTAAACTACAGTTTCCGTACCAGGCTCAGAATTGGACGATTTATATGTCATTCGAAAGAGCTCGTCGAGCTGAGTCGAATGACACCAAAATTTTTCAGCGGAAAAAATTTTGAGCCGAGTTACAGACCACTAAAGTTCAAAAAACCATAGGGGGGACCAAGCTGTTTTCTGGGGGTGAAAAATTCGAATATGCAAATTATACCTCATTCGAAAGAGCTCATCGAGCTGAGTCGAATGACACCAAAATCAATGAAATCAGACTTGATTTGACAAAGTTATGCTCGTTTGTTTTAGCTCCTTACCTTTGTTCTCCGTGGATGTTCTTGCTGCTGCGGAGGAAGCTGGGCATGCCCATCACAGCGATAATTGGAATAGGATTAAGTTACGAGCCCAGACCCAGAGCCCGTAGACTCCCCGCGAGGCGCGTGCCGCAAAACTCCGCGCGAAGCGCGGAGTTTTGCACAAGCGCCTCGCCGACGCCCCATAGGTTTACGTTGTTTGTTTTTTCTGTCATAACTTTGAACAAACATGACCAATCACGGCGATTTTGTTGTCATTCGACTCGGCTTGAAGAGCTCTTTCAAATGAGCTATTAATTGCATATTCGAATTTTTCACCCCAAAAATCAGCTTGGTCCCCCCTATGGTTTTTCGATTTTCGGGGGCCTGTAACTCGGCTCAGAATTTTTTCCGCTGAATAATTTTGGTGTCGTTCGACTCAGCTCGACGAGCTCTTTCGAATGACATATAAATCGTCCAATTCTGAGCCTGGTACGGAAACTGTAGTTAGGCCAGGTAGTTTATAGGGGGGCCCCGTAGGCGAGGGCCGAAGGCCCGAGACGTTTTGGTGCCGCACTTGAGTGTGGCACTGAAACGGCCAAAAGTCATAAAAACACTGAGGTAAAAAAACTCACAAAGTAAGAGTAACATTGGCGTTTGGGGGCCGAAGGCCCCCAAACGCCTCGGGATAACCCACCAAAGTTGCCGAATGCACCAAAGCGGTCAAACCCATTGCAAGAGTCTAACATTGGCGTTTGGGGGCCGAAGGCCCCCAAACGCCTCGGGACAACCCACCGCCGTAGCCAAATGCACCACAGCGGTCAAACCCAAAGCAAGAGTCTAACATTGGCGTTTGGGGGCCGAAGGCCCCCAAACGCCTCGGGATAACCCACCAAAGTTGCCGAATGCACCAAAGCGGTCAAACCCATTGCAAGAGTCTAACATTGGCGTTTGGGGGCCGAAGGCCCCCAAACGCCTCGGGACAACCCACCGCCGTAGCCAAATACACCACAGCGGTCAAACCCAAAGCAAGAGTCTAACATTGGCGTTTGGGGGCCGAAGGCCCCCAAGGCGAGGGCCGAAGGCCCGAGCATTCATTACATCCAAAACGCAGAGCAATAGTCAAAGGTAGGGCACGGCGGGCCGGAGGCTCGCCGTAGGCGAGGGCCGAAGGCCCGAGCATTTATTACATTTAAAACGCAGAGCAATAGTCAAAGGCAGGGCACGGCGGGCCGGAGGCCCGCCGTTGGCGAGGGCCGAAGGCCCGAGCATTCATTACATCCAAAACGCAGAGCAATAGTCAAAGGTAGGGCACGGCGGGCCAGAGGCCAGCCGTAAGCGAGGGCCGAAGGCCCGAGCTTTCATTACATCTAAAACGCAGAGCAATAGTCAAAGGCAGGGCAAACTTTACCGGCGAGGGCCGAAGGCCCGAAGCAATGAAAAGGCATGGCCAAACTTTACCGGCGAGGGCCGGAGGCCCGAAGCAATGAAAAGGCAGGGCAAACTTTAACGGCGAGGGCCGAAGGCCCGAGCTTTCATTACATCTAAAAGGCAGAGCAATTGTCAAAGCAGGGCACGGCGGGCCGGAGGCCCGCCGTGGAGCAATGAAAAGGCAGGGCAAACTTTAACGGCGAGGGCCGAAGGCCCGAGCTTTCATTACATCTAAAAGGCAGAGCAATTGTCAAAGCAGGGCACGGCGGGCCGGAGGCCCGCCGTGGAGCAATGAAAAGGCAGGGCAAACTTTAACGGCGAGGGCCGAAGGCCCGAGCTTTCATTACATCTAAAAGGCAGAGCAATTGTCAAAGCAGGGCACGGCGGGCCGGAGGCCCGCCGTGGAGCAATGAAAAGGCAGGGCAAACTTTAACGGCGAGGGCCGAAGGCCCGAGCTTTCATTACATCTAAAAGGCAGAGCAATTGTCAAAGCAGGGCACGGCGGGCCGGAGGCCCGCCGTGGAGCAATGAAAAGGCAGGGCAAACTTTAACGGCGAGGGCCGAAGGCCCGAGCTTTCATTACATCTAAAAGGCAGAGCAAAGTCAAAGGCAGGGCAAACTTTACCGGCGAGGGCCGAAGGCCCGAAGCAATGAAAAGACAGGGCTAAACCTTGCCGGCGAGGGCCGAAGGCCCGAAGCAATTAAAAGTCAGGGCTAAACTTTACTGGCGAGGGCCGAAGGCCCGGAGCAATGAAAAGGCATGGCAAAACTTTCTTTTCAAGCATCCAAACATTCTAGCAGCGCGCGAAGCGCGCCCCAAAGCCGACAGGCTTTCCAACGGGCACCCAAAAATTTTACCGCCATTGCCAAATTGAAACCCAAAGCATACATCAAAGATTTGCATACGCACTACGCCGCCATCGCATACGTAACTACAGCTAGTTATTACAGCTAGTTATCGATTGCCTATTACCCCATATGTTTAATTTTCCTTCAATTCTCATAGCGTTCGGATACTCAGATCAAACATCCTTTCTGACCAAAGTGGCTTGTAGGCATTTTGTCCTTCCATTTACAAGTTTTTAATTTGGGCGTTTTTTGTTTTTTGGGGTTTTTTCGGAAAATTTCTGGGTTCCTTTTTAATTTTTTTTTATTTTTTCGTTATTTACGCGTCCTGATCACACTCCAAGCCTTTTTCCCTGAAAAATCACGAAAAAAAGCTCGAAAATTGCAAAAACTCGCTTTTTGCGTTTTTTTGCGATTTTTTCAGTTTTTTACGATTTTTTTGGGTTTTCGGGATTTTAGTTGGGTTTAGTTTGTTGTAAATTATAAGTTGGGGCCCGTTGATCATATTTATGTTAAGTTTACCAAAATGATTTGAGATTTTTTGGGTTTTATGAAATTTCAAAAACTCGTGTTTGGGGTGTGATCAGGGCTTTTTTAATTTATTTAATTTTTATTATTTTTTGTTTTTTTCAGTTATAACTTTTAGTTCCTGGTGGCTGCATCAACAATCAACGAACAACAAGGTTAGTTCTTCCCTCTCCCTCGGCTAAGGGAGTGTTCCCTACTAATCAGAGGATGTTCTCTGATTAGTTTACTCTTTATTGAGTAGGGGTCATGCCCGATTTTTTCGTAAAATCGGGTATGAAACTTGCTTAATTAAGAGTACACTAATCAGGGAGTATTTTCTGATTAGGTTTCACTTTGGATAGACGGGTCATGCCGGTTTTTTTATCGGTATTCCCCTCTATACACAGTGAAACCTAACCAGAAAATGCTCCTTATAGTGTCCTCTTAATTAAACGAGTTTCATAACCGATTTCGCAAAAAAATCTTGCATTTCTTGCTCAATAAAAAGTCCACTTAATCAAAGAACTCCTCTGATTAGTAAGGAGAAACTCTTTTGACCGAGGGGTGGAGGAAGAATTGTTTTTGTTGGTTGTTGAGAAAATTGTGTTGATGTTGTTGGATCGTGTGCAGTGTTTTTTGTATTGGAAAGGTGGGTTTAATTTTTTAAAAATATTTAGAGTCCCCACTTTGGTCTCCTTCCCTGTCGGGGGAAGGAGATCTTGTACCCCCGTATGGGGAGAGTGTGGAGCACCAATACGCGGGGGAGAACAAATACGCGTATTGATGCTCCACTTGTGCGGAGGGGTCATGCCAAAATTTTTTTTCGTCCGTTTTTACTTTGACTTCTGGGTCAATCCCATCAAAATTTTTCTTTTGGTTATAAATGGCAGACAATTTGGGGAATCTAAATATTTTTAAAACATTAAATCCACTTTTACTCTACTCAAAACACTGCATACGATTTAACCATAGTGACGAAAAGTTGATGCAGTCGCTCCCTGCCTAAAGTTATATCTGAAAAAATAAAAAATTTTTTATATTTGACTTAAAATCCCTCTTATTAGTTTAAAACGCCTATATAAAGTTATATTATTTCAAATTTTTTCTTTTTTAGATAAATTTTAATATTCAATTTTATTGATAATTTATTAAAATGCCTTCAAAACAACAAAATAAAAGAAAATTGGGTAAAGAATATCGTCAACGGCGTATTGTTAATGATGGTCTTTCTATGGATGTTGGTTCAATTGATGGATCATTGGATGGTAATAATATGTCTGTTGTCGGTAGTAGTTTTGTTGAAGTGGGTAGTAAAGGGGAAGGGGTTTCTTTGTGTGATAATGTTTTTAATATTTCTTTAAATGATTCTATTGTTTCGCGTAGTGTTTCCCCTAATAGTATTTCTTCTGTTTCACGTGGGGGGAGACCTAAAAAACGGAGAGTTGTTGGTAGACCTAAAAAAGTCGTTTTAAATGAAAATTTTTCTAATGAGAATATGAATGTGGATATTGTTCCTGAATTTTTATCTATTGATTTGTTAGATGTTCCTTTTGGTCCAATGCCTAATATTGAAAATAGAATTTTTACCGATGATATTGGTTTTTCAAGGCCCGAAATTATTAGTTTGTGGTCTGATCCTAATGTGTGGTTATCGGATAGTTTTGTTTTTATTTATTTAAAATTTTTATTATATCGTTCCAATTTAAATGTTGTTGTTGTTTCGCCTCATTTTGCTGTTGTTGAGCACCATTTTGGGGAGGGTGTTGATCCTCTTAATATTTTTGATTGTTGTTATAATTATAACCAGGATTATGATATTTTATTAATTCCGATTATTTTTCCTGGTCATTTTGGTTTGGTAATTTTTGATCGTTCTGATCGTGCTAATTTTTCTTGCATTTTTGTTGATTCTTTGCCATCTGTTAATCGTTTAACCGATGTTTCTTGTGGTGTTTTTGATCAAAGGCGTGTCGATTTAATTAAAAGGTGTATTTGTGATTTGACACCTGGACTTTTTGTTGAAAATATTAATATTCAAGTTTTGCCCCGTTCTCAATTTACTGAACAAAGAGATGGGACTAATTGTGGATTTTTTGTTTGCCTGTATTCGGAGTTATTTTTGTTTAATAATAAATCGTTAATTATTCCTTTTTTAAACATTCAATATGAAAGGAAGCGTATTTTGTGGAACTTATCGCAATTGATTCTTTCTAATGATATTGAATATTTTGGGGTTTTTGATTATAATCCTAGAATTGCTCCAGTGCAAGAAAATTTTTTTAATTTTAATTTAGATCTTGGTAATGAGATAATAGATAATTGTGTTGTTAATAATTATCCAGTTTTGGATTTAGAGCCAGACCCACCATTAAGGAGGTCTGAAAGAATTGCTGCTAAAAAAACTAATTCTGTTTCTGAAATTTCTGAAACTGAATGTAATGAAGATGTGTTTTTTAAGATTTCGTCTCACTGTGGGAGGTCTCATAAGCTTTATCCGTGTGCAGATGTTAGGTCTATGCATTATGAGCCTTATTATGATTCCGGTAATTTTGGTGATAAAGAGTGTTGTTTTTGTGGGGCTTTATTGTTAAACACAGAAGTTAACGAGGCTTTTCGCCAGAAATATAAAAAAATTACTTCTTCTTTTTGTTGTAAGTGTGGTTTAGTTACTCTTCCGCCTTATAGTCCACATCCACAACTTTTAAAAGATTTAAGTAATGGTGATTCTCAAGATTCGTTAGAGTTTTTGCAACACCAGAATATATATAACTCATTATTGGCTTTTGCGTCAGTTTATGTCGGCCATAGAGAATCAAATCTTGACGGTGGAATTTGTTTTCTTCTTAACGGAGAGTTTGTTCGTAAACTTAGCTCGATCACGCCTGGTAATAATGGCCCTTCTTTTTCACAATTATATATTTTGGATGCAAATACAGCCTTTGAAAATAGGGTTAATAATGTTTCTTATGGTGGCGATAGAGTAGACCAGGAAACACTTAGAAATTTAGATACACTTTTGCGTCAAACCCATCCTTTGGCAACTATTTATAAAAATTTCCATACTCAATACCTGGATAAATTACACTCGGATGGTCTTGATTCTGTTAAGTTTTATAGGCTTGTATTGTTAGAAGAAAGGGCTGCGCCTGTTAATGTTCGAGATCCTTCTGATCATCCTAGGCAAGTTAATCTTCCTACAGAAGAGACTTTATTTTCGATTTGTACTGAAGCCGACGAATTACCACAAGTTAAAGGTATTTTTATAACAGATCTTGAAGGTCATTTGTTTACTTTTGCTCCTAATCATCCTTTAACAGACACATTATGTTATCCCATTCTTTTTCCTTGTGGGGATGATGGTTATCATGCAAAAATACCTTTGAATAAAAATAATTTAAATACTATAAACGATGCTTCGTCTGATGATGATGTTGAAAATTCTGATAAAAAAAATATTTCTGTTAGAGCTTACATTAAATATCGCCTTGCTTTGCGTAGAAATGAAGATTACCATAATATTTGGAACGCAGGTGGCGGCTTGAGTCAAAAACTTGTGTTAGATTATAATGCTAGAATAGATTCCTCTGTTGCTAATTATTTAAGGAGAGACGATATGGATTTGCGTGCTACATATCCTCCAGATGCTCTTAGATGGTTGCAAAGGGATTGCGGTGCTAAATCTGTTAATGACCTTGGTCACATTGTTGCGTTTAGGAAATATCACCCTGGGACACGTCCTTATTTTCAGGAGATGTTTTATAATGCAACTGCAATTATGGCCCGAACTCGTAAAGCTGGGGTTTGTTCGTTTATGTTTACATTTACTTGTAATCCAAATTGGCCCGAAATAAAAAGAAATTTATTACGCGCTAATCAGAAAATTGTTGATAGGTTTGATATTATTTGTCGTATTTACGAAGATAAACTTAGAAAACTCCACTATCTATTAGAAAAGAAGCATATTCTTGGTAACATTTTAGGCTTTGGTGAAAGTCGTGAGTTTCAGAAAAGAGTAGGCGGTCCACATTTGCATAGAGTATATTGTACTGATATTCCTGCTACGCCTGAAAACGTTGAAAATTTAATTTGGGCACATATTCCTCCAGAACCACCTGCAAATGATAAGTCTTCTTGGGCAAATTTTTTACGTAAAGTACGTGAATTGTTACCTAAGCATCAGTTTCATGATTGTGGGTCACATTGTCGTAATATTAGGGGTAACTGTAAGAAAGGCTTTCCAAAACCTTTTAGTAAATTTACCATTTTACACGCTAACAAACCAGCCGAATATAAGCGCCCGAGTCCGGAAGACGGCGGCGAAACGTTAGAAATTAAACGGGGCAGAATTACAGTTAAATATGATAATTCGCGTGTAGTAGCTTATAACCCATTTATTCTTGTCATGTTTCAAACTCACCATAATCTTGAATTCTCTTATGGACAGTCTGACAATTTAAAATATGCCTTAAAATATCCATTTAAAGGTAACAGTTTTTCCTATGTCCGTAGTGCTGTAGATGGTCTAATCAATGTTGATGAACCTGCACAATACGCAAAAATGATTTATCGTAGTCCAACCGAGGCTTTTTCGCGAGTAATGGGATATAAGTATGCCTTTCTTTCACATACTGTTATAGGTTTGAAAATTCATTTGCCGGGTAATCAAAAATTAGTTTTTAATTCTAAAACTGCTCCTGAGGTTCTTGCTAACGTTGAACAAGGCATTCTTCCAGATACACATCTTACTGCTTACTGGAATTTATGGCGAAAGAATATAAATAATCCCCTTATTAAAAACATGCTCTTTGAAGTTTTGCCTGAAACATATGCATTTGATAGCAAAGAAAAAGTGTGGCATAAAAGGAGAATGGCTGAAATTAGAAAAATAACTAAACCAATTATCGGGAGAATTTATCCAGTCTCACCACGTGAACCAGAACTTTTTGCTTTGTATATTCTAACTAAACATTTTCCCGGGGATCCAGAAGAGCTAAAAACCTTTAATGGACATGTATGCTCAACTTTTGCCGATGCTGCACGCTTAAGGGGGCTTTTTGAAGATAATGGTGTTTGGGAACGTACGTTAAGGGAGGCCTCTTTTTCATTAAACCCCTCACAGATGAGGCAATTGTTCGCAAATATTCTTGTATTTGGGGGAACAGAGCGGTGTGTTATTGATGGTTATGTTTTGTGGGAAATGTTTAAGGATCAGATGTATGATAGGAGGCGATGTACCGAGGCTGAAAAACTTTTACGTATTGATAGAGCATTAGCTATCATTGAGAGATATTTGTTAAGCAATGGTCGTTCTATGGATGATTTTGGTCTTCCTTCGCCTAATAATTCAATCTTGAATGACCCAGATAGAGCATTAGATGACTTTTTCTTCCCGAACAACGTTAATAGTGACGATCCCGATGAAACATTAGATACCTCTAATTTAGAAAGGGCAAATTTAAATGCTGAACAAAATGCTTTCTTTAATATGATTCGTGATGCGGTTTTTGACACTAATTCTGTTAATAAATATTTTTATTTGTCGGGAGATGGGGGTACAGGCAAAACATTCTTATTAAATTATGTTCTTTATCAACTTAGGCAATTAAATTTAAAAGTTTTACCAACCGCCTCGACGGGTATTGCTTCGACAAAGTTTTATGCAGGTGGTATGACATTTCACTCTGCTTTTCGTTTCGGGATTGATGTAGAACCAGGCAAACTTCCTTTAGTAAAGTTTGACAGCTTTTTTGGGAGAAGAATTATAGAATGTGATGTCATTATTATTGATGAGATAACCATGTTAAATAAGACTGTGTTTGAAAATGTAGACCTTTTGTGTCGTAATATGGTTCCTCAAAATAAAAAACTTCCTTTTGCTGGGAAAGTTGTAATACTTTCAGGAGACTGGAAGCAGTCTTTACCTGTTGCTGATTCTGCTTCCCCTGGTGCTTCTGTTGCTGCTTGCATTCAATCCTCACATTTGTATCCCCTTTTCCTCAAATTTAGGCTTGTACAGAATATGAGAGTTATTCCTTCTGAAATTCAATTTAAGGATTGGCTTTATAGTATTGGTACCGGAACTATCGGTGATTCAGTTAATATTCCACCAAACATGATAGTTAATTCGCGTCAAGAATTATATGAATTTGTTTTTGATCAAGGGTTTGCAGTAGCAAGTAATGAACTGTTAAAAAGATTAATTTTAGCCCCAACAAATAGGGTTGTTGATTCTATCAACTCTGAAATCATAGATATGATTGATTCACCAGAGGTCGAATATTTATCTATTGACAACCCAACAAGTGAAAATCCTTTAGCTTATAATGCTGCTGAATATGACGTCTCAACATTAAATCGTCTCACTCCAAATGGTATGCCAGCTCATAGTCTCAAGCTTAAAGTAGGCTCCGTAATCGTATTGCTTCAGAATTTAAACACACAAAAATCTTTGTGTAATGGAACAAGACTAATTGTGACTAATTTACAATCAAATCTTATAGAAGCAGAGACAATAAATATTGGATCTGATCATGGTATTAGAGTTGGCATTTGTCGTACAAGAAATCAATTTGTTGATAATAATCCTGACGCAGTAAGCTTTGAACGATTTCAGTTTCCTGTGAGGGTTGCTTTTTGTATGACTATCACAAAGGCTCAAGGGCAAACTTGTGAACGTTTGGGTATTGATTTTAATGACGAGCCCTTTGCCCATGGGCAATTATATACAGCCTTATCACGTGCCCGAAGTGGCGATTTTATTAAAATTTTTGCTCCGAAAAAACCAAATAATGATGGAAGTATTTCTATAAGAAATGTTGTTGCTAATGGAATTTCTTTTGATTAAATTTAATATAAAATATTCTTTTTTGTAGGGGTTTTTTGATTTGTTCTTGAAAGCTGTATTTTGGTGTTACTTTTGGTTGAGTTTTTATTATTTATATATTGTTTGTTGTGGAATGGTTTTTTTTGGTTTTATATTTAGTATTTTATTTGGAGTCTGAATTATTTTCTTTTTACCCGGAATGGTTTTGCATTTATAATTTATTTATTTGTTTGTGACACTTATTTTTTTTTTGCATTGAAGATATGTTACATTTATGTTTTTCGTTGGCGTTTTAAGTATTGTTGGTATTTTTAGTGGAGTGTTTAATTATGTTATATAAAGTAAGATTCGTTTTGTTTTCATTTAATTAGGGGTTGATTAGATTTTTGAATGTATTGATAGAAATGGTTATATATTTCGTAATATTGGTGTAATGTTGTTCTGTTTATATTATTTTTTGTGCGACGTTTTTTGGGGTTGTATTATTAAATAATAGTATTTTTGGGGTTGTATTATTTAAAAATTAGTTTTTTGGGTGTTTTTTAAACAGAATTTTATTTATTTAATTATTTTTATAGTTTGAGTTTTAATTTTATTTTTTTTCACTTTTATGTCCAATAGGGGCATAATCGCACGGGAGGCTTTATGCCAACCGGTTAAGTATTTCATTGTTGTTTAATGATTTATTTTTTTTATTTATTATTCACTTTTATGTCCAATAGGGGCATAATCGCACGGGAGGCTTTATGCCAACCGGTTGAGCAATTTCTTTTGTTTTTTTTTTCACTTTTATGTCTAATAGAGACATAATCGTACGGAAGGCTTCTGCCGACCGATTTAGCATTTAATTTGTTTTTTTATTATTTATTCACTTTTATGTCCAATAGGGGCATAATCGCACGGGAGGCTTTATGCCAACCGGTTGAGCAATTTCTTTTGTTTTTTATTATTTATTCACTTTTATGCCTAATAGAGGCATAATCGTACGGAAGGCTTCTGCCAACCGATTTAGTATTTCATTGTTTTTTGTTTGTTTTTAAGTTTATTTTAATTATATTAATTATATTTGGGGGATTTTTATTATCTATTTTTTTATTATTTCTTTTTGGGGTGGGTCCCTCCCACGGGGTACAGGGTTTGCCCGTTTACCTCCGTGCACCTCCACGTGGTGTACCCTGGGCATTGTTGTATAATTATAAAATGTTATACAACAATGGCTAAGCACGGTAAAAAACGGGATGGTTCAAATTATAAAAATGTAACTATTTCTAGCAGCGCGCGAAGCGCGCCCCAAAGCCGTTAGGCTTTCCAACGGGCACCCCAAAATTTTACTGCCAGAGTACTGTAATCAACTGCCAGAGTGCTGTAACTAACCGCCATCGCATACGTAACCCACAGCTAGTTATATATTTAATAAAAATCTTGATGTTCGATTTTTTTATGGGAGAAAATTGCTTTCAAAAATTCCGCCGGCCGTAGGCCGGCGGCTGGAATTTTTTGAAGGGTACATTTGTCCTGCAACTTTTTACGCTCTATTCAGGAAAACTCTAACCTCGGCACTGAAACGTCGTTTTCGCACTGAAACGGCCATGGGTGGTTTTTCAAATGGAAATAGCGCGGAGGGGTGAAGTTGGATCAAAAAGTGCTTGCTGGGAGGATTTTAAGTTGGGATGTGTACTATATCGTAGGAAAAATTTGAGGGGCCTGGGATCAACGCCTGAGGCTGTGGCCTTGGCTAAAAATTGTACATCTCGTCCTAAAATGACCCATGGTGTCCGATGAAATTAACCGACAATTTTCAAACTATATGCCATTCGATAGAGCTCCATGAGTAGGTTCTGGGAAAATTTGGTTCAAATTTTTCTGACCATTTTGGGCAAAGTTACAGAATGCCAAAGGTCCAAAATGTCCAGAACCCCTAACGTGAAGGGTGGCTCCCATCGAATGTAATTATAAAATTGCTTAAGAGAGGGCGAATGGTTTCAACTCTTTTTTGGTATAATAGGGCACTAAATGTACTACAATTTTGTTGGGGGACACTTGAGTCTGGGATTTTTTCCTGACATAGTTATGGGCACCAAAGTGACCTCGCCAAAACCGACTTTTTAACGCGTGAATTGAAACTCGATTTGAGTATCCTATCTTATAGAGCGTCCCTTGAAACCTCTAAAAATATATACTTTGTTGGGGGTACACTTGAGTCTGGGAAAGTTATAGGGCAAAAAGTGGCATTTTTGGGGCCAAAAATGGTCGGTTTTTTGGCTATAACTTTTTTTAAAAAATTTTTAAAAATAAACGGTGTTCGGATTCGTGTTCAGCACCTATTGGAGCACCATAAAACATATTTATCTCGAGGTCGAATTTTTGACCCCTTTTTGAAGGGGTACCCCTTTTGAAATTTTTGGGTGAAATTTAGATTGGGCATAACTTTGTAAGTTTTTGTCGTAGCCAAACGAATTAAAAGTTATAAAATAGAGCAAAAAATTACAAATTTTTTGAGCTATTAAAATTTTTGAAAAATTTCACCCGAGGCCTGGTAGGGTCGATTTTTTGAAAATTCAAAATTTTTCGGTTTTTTTAAATTTTTAGGGGTATATCGAGGCCGAGGGTGGTTGAATATATTTTTATAAAATAGAGCATAATTTTTACTATATAATAAGCTTTTAAAATGTTTCAAAATTGTTTATTTTTGGGGAGTTATGATTTTTTGAAAAATGACGTAAATTTTTCGGTCGAAATTTTCGGCCGAAAATTTATTTTTTACAAAATGACTTAAAATAGGGCAAATGTTATATCAATCGAAAGCTCTCGTCGAGCCGAGTTTAAAAATATTTTTTGTAAAATTTTATGACCATTTTGTCCAAAGTTACAAAAGGTCGAAGTTTTGGGTGTGGGGGGTTTGGGGGCCGAAGGCCCGCCGTGCGAGGGCCGAAGGCCCGAGCTTAAGATCCATCCCAAAATGGGTCGCGAGGGCCGAAGGCCCGAGCTTAAGATCCATCTAAAAATGGATCGCGAGGGCCGAAGGCCCGAGCTTAAGATCCATCTCAAAATGGATCGCGAGGGCCGAAGGCCCGAGCTTAAGATCCATCCCAAAATGGGTCGCGAGGGCCGAAGGCCCGAGCTTAAGATCCATCTAAAAATGGATCGCGAGGGCCGAAGGCCCGAGCTTAAGATCCATCCCAAAATTGGTCGCGAGGGCCGAAGGCCCGAGCTTAAGATCCATCTAAAAATGGATCGCGAGGGCCGAAGGCCCGAGCTTAAGATCCATCTCAAAATGGATCGCGAGGGCCGAAGGCCCGAGCTTAAGATCCATCCCAAAATGGGTCGCGAGGGCCGAAGGCCCGAGCTTAAGATCCATCTAAAAATGGATCGCGAGGGCCGAAGGCCCGAGCTTAAGATCCATCCCAAAACGAAACGCGAGGGCCGAAGGCCCGAGCTTAAGATCCATTCCAAAACGAATCGCGAGGGCCGAAGGCCCGAGCTTAAGATCCATCCCAAAATGGATCGCGAGGGCCGAAGGCCCGAGCTTAAGATACATTCCAAAACGAATCGCGAGGGCCGAAGGCCCGAGCTTAAGATCCATTCCAAAACGAATCGCGAGGGCCGAAGGCCCGGAGCAATTAAAAGGCAATTAATAACTTTACCGGCGAGGGCCGAAGGCCCGAGCTTAAGATCCATTCCAAAACGAATCGCGAGGGCCGAAGGCCCGGAGCAATGAAAAGGCAGAGCAAATGTTACCGTTTCTAGCAGCGCGCGAAGCGCGCCCCAAAGCCGTTAGGCTTTCCAACGGGCAAAAGTATCGTAACTTAAGGCTCCGCCTATTAAATTCCAGTGCATACGTAACTTACCGCCATACCCCAATGAGCACAACTAGTTTAATACTTATATAAAAAACCCCAACTTGTCCCTATTTTTGGGGGTAAAATCCTTTCAAAAAAGTCCTGCGCCCCGGCCGAAGGCCGAGGAATTTTTTCAAAGGTGGATTTGTCCTGTAACTTTTTGCGCTCTATTCAGGAAAATTATGACCTCGGCGCTGAAACGTCGTTTTCGCACTGAAACGGCCATGGGTGGTTTTTCAAATGGAAATAGCGCGGAGGGGTGAAGTGTGAGCAAAAAGTGCTTGCTGGGAGGAACTCCAGTTGGGATATGTACTATATCGTAGGAAAAATCTTGGAGGCCTGGGATCAACGCCTGAGGCTGTGGCCTTGGCTAAAAATTGTACAT